GCTCTAGCTTTATTTTCATTTTTATTTTTATATGCAGTAAGAAGTACATGATAAAAACATGAAGCTGTCACCAGAGAGTCTCTTTGAGTCCGCTAAAGAAAGTTCACCATCCTCCAATATCATCCTATTAGACTGTTTTCATATTATAAACGATTTATGTTTTGTAAAGTGAGTGTGCTGTTGAAGGAAATAAGTGAGATATTTGATTGCTTGAATGTGGTAGGGTGAAGTTGCTGTTGCCTTCTAAGGCTACATTTCAATCTCAAAATAGTTTCATGAACTATGTTCCTATAAGTTGGCATCCTTAAACAATAGATGATAAAATTGATGAAAGAATTACTAAACTGGAGAAGCTTGATTACGTATACAACAGCAATAGGGATACGCCTACAGGGTATGCAGACGTTGAACACTATAACCAAAATTTGGAACGGTAGCCACGTTACAACAAACATCCCTGTTATCAAAAGCAGTACATAAGCTAACTTAGTGTTACTTCTAGCTCTGTGGTCACTTTGTGGTCTGGAAGCCTGCAAATTCCCGATGATGCCGTAGGAGATAAAAGACATCAACAACGGAGTCGATAAGCTAATGATCATAACAGCTACAAAATGATGTTTTGTCATGATTCTAAAATAAAGTAACACTCTCGTTGATGTCACGATAACAGAGAAGACCCATGGCATTACCATAGCGATGATGTAGCTTTTAAAGGAGAGCTGTCGATGGTGGAGAGGTCGTGCTATAGCATAAAGCCTTTCAACAGAGATTACGGCCAAGGTGAATACTGACCAAAAACCTGTGAACATGTCTACGCAATCAGAGATGAAACGTGACAAAACTCTTTCCTTCGAGACAGATGTTATCATAAGTATAGGTACTGCAAATATTCCAACCAACAAATCAGCAATGGCCAATTCTGCAAGTAGATAATGAGGTCGCTTACGAAGTCTTCGTTTCAATAGAACTGAAATGGAGAGACAGTTACCAATGATTATTATGACTGCTGTGAATACAAAACATATACTCCAGAATACATTCCATTTGTTGAAGTTCATCTTCAGCGCGGGGTTGGGCAGCAATTCCTGAAACAAGGAGGAAAAATTATTTTAACTCATCATGACACAACAAAAATTTGTAAGGAGAGAAGACCTACCCGTTGTTTGTAAGTTTTGATGCCCATTAGAGATATGTTATTTTGGTAATTGGGAGAGAATCCATTTGCCATTTTGTTGTCTGCCGGAAATGGAGAAGGTTGGCAAGTGAATTAAAATCAACGTTAAGTAAGATAGGTAAAAGCCCTATTCAATCTAGAGTCACTCAAATACTGTCATCTATCATTATTATACGTAAGTTTGTTTTTGATAATGTTGCTTTTTCTTCCCTCTTTTCATCTCTGATCCACGCGATACAGATTTTATGATTTATGCGTGCTTAATCAAATGACTGCACGGCTGTTTGTTTCAGGGGTTCGTTACATATGAAAGAAACATATCGCTAGTAGGAAATTGTTTATCGATATGAAGTTAAGAAGTACAATTTTCATTCATTTTTCACCGTCAGCGTGTAAAATTCCTTTTTGAACAAATCGTTCCTTTGACAAATTGATTTTTAATCTTCTCTACAAAGTTATTTCTGTATTTGCCGTTGCTTCAGGAAAAGAAACAAACTATAGGGAGAGGTTAGTGTAATTGCTTCTAAGCTAACCTACGATTTCAACTTAATAATTATTGACATAGCGCACCTAACCTTAGATAACCTCAACTTGAGTAGCTTCGTCTTGTGTTGAGGCTTATGTTCAGTTTAATGCAGTGGTTCACCCTTTGCCTTGGGGCAAAATTTAAAGGGTTTGAAAGCGGATGAAAACCTGACACTAATCCGAAATGAGCTTAAGGATAGTTATGGCCGAGATAAAAATCTAAACCACAAACTCAATCTAAATCAAGAAGGAGAAAATTGCCATCATAGAGTAAAAGTTCTCACCTTAAACGTGGGAGTCAGTTGAAGCACGATATCTTTACTGATGGAGGAAAACTGATAAAGCATCCACAGATACGAGGAACTGAAATATAAAGGTAATCTAAAAGCAATTTTTCGTGATGCGGGCGATAACCACATACTGAAGCCAATACGGAAGGATAAAAGGTTTTGAAGGGCTTAGCAGTCGTGCTCACGTCATCTTTCGTTTGCCTTTCTTTTTTAAATGGTTTTCCCTCAATTTTTTTACTGTTAGGAAGGTTTTCTTTACTCCACAAAACCGAAAGCAATACCAATATTTTTAATGGCTTATCTGATATGACGATTCTCAAAGTTAAAGGGAAAGAATCATTTCTGCATTGATAAGTTAACCTTTATTAGAAAAAAAATTTTAAAAGGCAAATGACGTCGCCGGAAGGAACACGATGGCTCGGCCTGTATCACCGATAGTTCTTTGCTTGTTGAGATATATCCTGCTGTTTTGTTTTGGACAATGTTTTGGAAAAGCACAGGGGAAAATAGTAAAGTACTTTTAACCTTAAAGCATGCCGTGACAAGTCAAGAAGTAAAATGGTACCTAATCTCTGATTCAGATTTCAATTGAAGGCAAAACTTCACAATTACAAGTAAGCCGGGTTTATGTTTTGAAGGATATGAAATCGTTATAAGCATTGGTTTCTTGTTATCATCGTTGAAACAAATCCCCATAGTGTTGACTAAACTTACTATTGCCATTAGAATATTCAGGGTTGCAAGCATAATCTTTTAATATATTATTACAGAGGGGGCTAAATATAGTGAACGTACGTGCTGCCTAACACTGAAACGGAAAAATGTCTCAGAAACTAGCCCATCATTATAATATGGCTAAGATAAACAAAGGGGGTAAGTTCTCAAGAGGCTTTGTTGCTGCGTGGGTGGAGGTATGAAAAGTGGCCACCGTAAAGAGTTTCCAAAGCTAATGTTTCAAGCGTAAGCCCTTTGTTCCTTGTTTACACGTTTTACACTATGATATAAATAGCAGACTGAGGAAACACTCTACTACGTCATCTGTATTATAGACTATCTAAATTCTATAGAAACCATCATCTTGTTTTGAAATAGCATTTGCCTTGTTTTTCACCTCAATTAAACTGTGAAGTGATGCAAGCAAGTGGAACTTCCTTGAAAATGGAAATAAGTCGCTATGAAATGGCGGCGTGTACATTCACAAATCATCAATTCTTGTCAAGATTTGCAGTGAATTTAAACCGATTAAATTTCATGCATCGGCCTAGCTAAGGATCACACAGCACATAATTAATAATTTTGGGAAGTTCCTCACAGATAAGAATTTCCCTCATTTTTATCTATTGTTTATTATAGATTCCATTTGCTTAAGTCATTACGAAGCTTTGCAGCTGCGTGCCTTTGTTTCATGGGATCAATCAACTTCCCTTGTTTTGGTTTCGTTCGTGTTTCGTGAATATGATTACATTGCTTGCTTTTGCTTTACACTATCAACTCATCTTATTTCAATGCTATTCTCAGCAAAAGCTACTCCACCATTCTAAGAGTCTTACAATGGAGGGCTATTATTGGTTTCCATTTACTAAAGTAGTTAACCCCCAGCTGTGGGCATGCTGAAAGTATGTGTTTTTTTTTTTTAATTCTACTAACTTTCCTTGTTTTGACACTAACCTCGGCAGAGCTAAGAACATTCTAATAACTGAACCCTGCCTACATGTTTATCCCTTCCGCCCACAGTGGTGTGACATGTTTTTATTTCCACGCACTCATGTAATTATAAAGCGAGGCCACTGCGGTAAAGCTGAAAGTTCTTATGTCTATCCCATATTTTGGAACAAACGTCAATACGGCAAGGAATGTGAAGGTGAAAATTGAGGACTAAGGTTTGATTATCAAATTATGCCCCTTTTGTTTTCTTCCATATACTTATATCATATGATCCTCAGAACTTACCGACAGATTGTCTCCATTTGCCATGGTGTCGGTGCATACATTAGCGTTTCTCGTGTGTTGGTGCATACGTTAGTGTTTCTCATTCTTGTTCCCATTCCATCATATGTTTCATTTTTACAACCACAAATGAGAATCACCGACTTAAAAAACCGGCAAATCAGTGAAATGATCCGCGAATTAAGTATTTTATTCTTATAAGATAAACAAGAGCTGAAGATCACAGGCACGAAGTTCCCTATTCTTTCATACATGTTCTCATTAACTTTTATTCTTATCTGTTTCTTTCATTCTCATTCGCCATATTATTTTCCTTTTGATAATTATTTACAACAATAGACCCATGAGGAGACCTAAAGTAGTTATTTTGAAATGGAGATTAAGTTTAAGGCGGATCAGTTGTTTACGTATGATACCTCAGTGATCACATATGCAATATAATTATTTTCATGTGTTATTCTACTTTATGTACATATCTTTCTTTAAAACTTAGCCAAAAAGAAAAAAATCAAAGATGCACCTCTTCGCAGTATATTGAATTCTTAGCTGAGTAGTAATATACGTCGAAATCTTGTAAGGTAATTACAGATTGTCCTCTTCGAAGTAGAAAAATACAAATAGATAAATATTTTTGAAGGTTGAAGGCAGCTGTACGAAGGCTATCATGACAGTTCAGACTTGTAACAACTTTAAAAAGATTGACGCAATAGGCCGGGAATGAACTTAAGTATTGGAAGTTGTGTAGAAAAGTGCTAAGTCAATATTCGCGATCAGCTAAGTCAATATTTTCGCCAGCTACTAAGGGGGGTGCCAGTAATTAGACTTTGACTCGCTCACCTGATAAACAGATTAGACTCACGTCATGCGCTAGAAAGTTCCTCTCCTGCTGTAAAAAGGCCATTTTTTTTGGATCGATAACGTGTAATTCAATAAATTAAGAGGAAGTCAACATTATCTCTTAATTACTTCTGAAGCTTGAGATTCTAACCATGACCAGATTGACTTTACATTGTAAAGCATCTATACCGCTTTTCAAATAATTTCAGATAATTAAGATCCGATTAAATTAAGCAGTTATTTCAAATTTTCAAAAACGCAATGTCAATCGTTTGGGAGAGTACACTTTGAATTTGCTCTTTAAGCTTAAAATTCAATGCGAACGAGACAGATTTATATCTGATTGATTTGCGTATCCATTATACTTTCTGAGTTTTCACTTTGTCCTTGCCTGCAGCGGTTTACAGACACCGAACTCGAGAGGGAAATTATTGTGACATTAGTGTTTTGATGCCGAAAGAAAGGGTGCACTTGAGTTTGGGAAACAAAGCAATTGCAGCTCCGAAACAATGCAGACAATGCCCTTCGATACACTGGCATTCGAAGACAATATATGAAGAAATTAACGACCGAATTGCTGAACTGCAGAAGCTTAATTAAGAATACCACTGACACAGGTACGCTTTTGCTACATACAGTGCATTTATGAATAACGATGACCAATACTTGGAATGGCATCCACGTTAATATAAACATGCCGGTTATTAGGCACACTGTCTTAGACAGCCTGGCTTCGCTCCTTGCTCTGAAACCTAGTTGTGGTCGTAAGGCTTCCTTATGCATAATGATGCAATAAGCCAGACACAACAGGAACAGTGGGGTCGATAAACTCAAGATAATAATGCACAGGAACTGCTGTTTTGTTATGATGGCTAACTGTAGCAGCAGGCGAGAAGACGTCACTGCTACTGCCAGGATCCACGGTGTTATCAGCGCAAAGATGTAACTTCGTGAGGTAAGCAGTCGATGGCGCAAAGGTTGCGCGATTGCACTCAGTCTTTCCATGGAAATTAAAACCAAGGTAAACACCGAGGAAAATCCAGTGAACATGTCCACACAATCAAAAACAAGCACTGTAACAAATTTTTTTCCAGACATCACGATGATCATGTAAATAGGCATTGCAAAAACACCAACCAACAGGTCCGCAATGGCTAAACTTATCAGCAAGTAATGCGGACGTTTGCGAAGCCTGCGCTTGAGAAGGATTATGATGGAGAGACAGTTTCCAATAATTATCATGAAGGCAATTGCTCCAAAGCAGATACTCCAAATAATATTCCATTGGTTGAAGTCCATTGTGAGTCCTTTTGTGAATTGATGTCTGTGATTTTGAGAGAGAAAGAAAGTAAAAATGACTTAGCTTTTTTTGTTCGATGATTTTGTGGAGAAAACCTCTGGATCCACGTTACATGGGAAATAAATAAAATAAATGCCATTAGTAAATTTTCTTTAAAAGCTTCATCGATTCGATGTGCTCTTTTAAAAACATGCCATATAAATCCATTGGAATATCATAAGCTGTACGTCGCCAAGGTTATAACAACAAAAAAATGTATTATTTTGTTTACATATGTTAGCTTAAAGCATCATCGATCAACAAAGCAATTAATGGAGAAAAACAATCATTTAGAAAAAAATCTTAAAAGCATTCATCAATCATCTAGTCAATCAATCAATAAAAAGGGCAGAAGAAGGAATCAAACAGAGAATCGACACACCACTCGATCAAGCTACTTTTTGCCTGTTGTCGTTACTCTCCCACGCAATTTTTTTATTGCGATAGAAAAAAAATGAATAGAAAATTATGTCGATTATGTTAGTAAGTAGCATACACGTTTTAAAAGGGGTGAACTTCGCCCAAATTTTCAAACATGGCGCGATCTCTGTGATAAGCTGAGAATTTAAAATATCGCTTTCTTCTCAAATGCAGTTCAAAAAAAACATACTGGGCTCAATCTCTACTACAAAACAAAAGCTAGAAAAGTGTTTGGGTGTCCTAGAACATCAACTCAGCCCAAGTGGTTTAAGTGAGCTACAATGAATTGTCTTTTCCGAAGACGTCAACGATGCCAAATCGCTTGACCCCCTCTAATTTTCGCTTCTCTGAGATTCGTACGATTTTCGATTTCCAGACCTCTTACATGGAGCTCTTAATCTGAATGATTGATCAACGAAGTAATTGTAGTTTTTCTATCTGTAATTTGCCCTAAAATACCTCTTTCCCGGCTTTGATCAGGGTAGTTTTCTAAGATTTGCTAATATCTTGTTTAAGATTTACATGAAATCCTACCAGGGTTATTTAAGAGCATTTGCCACTGCTCAGCAGCTCAAACAGACTATATCCATCGTCTTGTCGTCATTATCAAACGGCTACTGGGTGTATAAGTCACATCAGTCAAGGTCTATAGCTTCTGAAATGATTCCAGAGCCGCAAGACGGCCAAAGTATCAGCATAAGCTCAGCTGAATCGCTAGACTACCATGGAGTGAATTTTTTGAAGCGAGTCTGCATGGGTGATTATAGGGTTCGTTTACACAGCAAGAACAAATATTTGTTTTCCTTTTTTTTTATCGCAATTATTTATGACGGGATCTAAGATAGAAGTATAGGAAAATTCTTATCGGTAAATAAGTCAGATCCCTCCATGAGTAGGAGTGAAATTTTAATGAAAAATAGAACGATACAAGAGAGAAACTTTTTAAAAAGATATCAATTTAGAGCTTTCCTCACTTATCGGATATACCAATGACTGACTGTTGATGTGAGAATGTTATCTGAAATATTTTTCCCATCTCTTGATTTTAAGAATGCTTAGCTATATCATTTGTGCAGATCAGAAAGCGTCAAAAATACATTGTTGACTAATCTGAATAAACGAATTTGCACCAGACACAATTCATACTGACCTTTATACAGCGCCTGGATGTTTATCTGTAAACATAAAACGTTTTTATTGTGCTAACCATCGTTACAATACAAACATTGGAAGGAAAAGGAAATCAAGGAAATGACATAATGCCATCCGGTAAAGAATATAATTTTTTGAAAAACTTATGTTTAATTACAGGAATAGGTCACTGGCGTACGCAGGGTCTAAAATTGTCAACAGATAAAATTTGAAAAGCAATGTTTCAATTGGTAGACTCACCCTTCTGCAATACAATCAATTAAGATGATAATTTGAAACCAAACAAATATTTGATCTATCCCATTCAAAAGATCTCCCGACCACTGTGGCTTACCGCCTTTGACTATCTCGGCCATAAGTTAATGTACTAAAACCAAGCAGTGCGGTAAGAAAACTCGACAAAAACCCTCCGGTATCACGGAAAAATCGGTTAAAACATTAAAAAAAAAACTGAGAAATTCTTCCCCTCTCGCCCCGTTGTTTCATTTCATTTTTTTTGCAACCGAGGTCCAACCTACGAAACGCTGACACAGGATGTTATTTGTAATTTTCTCTAATGAATGTCATTGGGTGTTTTTTTCCGCAATCGGAGGCAAAATGAAGGAAAATAAAAGGTGCGTTATTTTCCACGAAAAATGTTATGGAATTCATGGCAAAATCTATACAATTATACCGCAATCGGAGGAAAAACGAAGGAAAATAAAAGTTGCATCGTTCTCCACTAAAAAATTAAAGGAAAATGTTATGGAATTCATGGAAAGATCTATACAATTATAGGCACATTGGTATAAACCTTTATCTTTCTTTCCTGACCACAGAACAATCGATGATAATAATTAATAAGACTGTTTATTTATGGTTGAGCAGGATGACAGCATTGAAAAGCACTTTACTCCCTGGCCGAGATTAGGGTGATACATTTTAATTTGCAAGGGCAACTTAGCTGACCTCTGTTTAAAAAGTAGGAAAGGAGTAAGATAAAATTATGAATATATGAGATACTGGAACAAAAGCAACACAAATAGCCTTCAACGTGGAAGGAAGACTTGGTTGTTGCAAACATTTAACTTGATATTTTCTTGTTGTGGTAGAATTTTGTGAGAAATGAGAAAATTTCTTCTGTAGCCCTCCTTCCTTTTTATTCTAAATTTTTTGCTTGATCCTATTTACATGCACAAATAATTGGTTTAATCATTGTATAGTAATTTATTTTCAGCTTTAAGTCATCACCTTAACCGTATCTGTAGTCGATTTGATATATTATACGATATTTAATCATTGTATAGTAATTTATTTTCAGCTTTAAGTCATCACCTTAACCGTACCTGTAGTCGATTTGATATATTATATGATATTTACATGAAATTTGTAAAAGATACAAATTACATTGATTCTGGAATTAGTTAACATGTAAAACGCACGCGCAAAGGCTCAATTACAACGGCCATTCCTAAACAATTATACGCTCCTAAGAGAACATTTAGCCCACGTCACATATCTAATAAATACAACTTTGTGCAGAAGAAAGCTACTTTTCAGAAAATCTCTATTTCATGACTTTATCTTATGGCCTTGTCCATCATAAAATGGTTGTTCATGTTGTAAGAAATAGATCCCGGTAATGGAAAGAATGCTATGGAACTTACAGAATTACCAAATTGAGCTTCTTCGGCTGAACTGCTAAGTTACGGTTACTTCACCTTGAAGGACAAATATGACTTCGTGTTCAGCTTTTTTCCGAATATAAAACCATTTTAATAGCCAGTGATCTCTCACTTAATCACCACTGGCGTCAAAATCAGAAATCGTATTTCATCTTGTTCAGCCCCTGAGTGATACCTTTTTTCGCGTCACGACCATTTTCTATTGTCCACGTGATCGTAACAGGCGAAAGATCTGTTGGACTATGAGCTTAAACTACTGATACAGTTACAAAAGTTCTACGGCTGGAGCTCTTTCTCAAATTTCTAGAGCTATTAAAAGCAAAACACTTCCTTCGAAGATTTGACGAGTTCAATTCTGATAGGACGATGTTTTCAGTTCCCATACAAAGGCGTAGATTTAGTGACGAATAGGAGCCCAGAACACCACCAACTGCACTCAGTGTGTCTCCTTGAAGGTTTTTGAGGTAAATATTCTTATCTTTGTTAGGATTATGACTTCTTCTACCTTTAAAAGCCTCAGAAATTGCCTTCCTGAATTCAGGCATTCTAAGTGAGTAAATAACCGTATTTATAAAGGAATTGAAATATTGTAATAGTTTAATGAAGTTCACTGTATTTTGAGAAGGGAAGGGGCATGTCTTGCAAAAGTGTACCACATACAGAAGGCACTGAAAAGGCAGCCATGTGACCATAAACATTCCAGTTACAAGGAATAGTGTCTTTGCTAGTCTCTTGTCCTGTTCCCTCCCAACTACACTATAATCTCGAGAACGAACCTTAACAAACAGACCCAAATATGCAGCGCAAGTAACTACAAACGAAGTACACAGAGCAGTGAGAACAATGTCCAGAGTAGCGAGGTAAGACACGATGTTGTAGTGATAAAGCAAGTCTATGATGGATATGATTAGGGCAGAAATCCATGCCAGACCCACAAAATAAAAGTAGGCTCGTTTACGTAGGGTGCGGTGAAACAAAGGCCACCCAATGGCGAACAGCCTTTCAACAGAAATCAGTGCCAATGTGAACACAGAGGCCAATCCGGACAGGATGTCCACTGCTTCATAGATGTGATGGACAGCTCTCTTTGTTAAGGTTTTCTGAATGCTCAAATAGATGTAAAGCGGTATGGCAACTGCTCCAACCGTCATATCAGCCATAGCTAAGCTGATCAGAAAGAAAACAGCACGTCTACGAACAAGTCGCCTGGCTGTAAACGCTGCAATTGTTAAAGCATTACCGGCCACAATAATTACAGCGAGAAAGCCAAAGATGGTACTCCAAGCAATGTTTGCTCTCCTGGAAAAGATGACTTCTTGTGTCCTGTTTGCTAAAGAGCTTGCCATATGGGATGAATTGAGTCTGAAAAAAGAGCAATAAAATTTATTCATGGTTCCAAAATATGATAATTTAACACGATTGTAGAGATACAGACCTCAAGATCACTGTACTGAATTTAGAAGTTTCTCTGCAAGTAATAACCCCGATATTTCAACAGGGAATTCTCGGAAGACTTATTCATGTAGCAGTGAAGTCGAATTTAATAACTATCTTGTTCTTATTAAATAGAACATGCTTTTTGACACTTTGAAGGAAGAAAGAAAGCCTCACAGCCACCGTTTAATGAACTTACACCAAAGCAACCACTTCGCCGGCTTCCGTCGAGAAAGCTTGAAAATATTACACATAAGTGAGATTACCATAAGTACCTAACGACTTATATTATTAGGTTTTCATATTCAAAATGCTATGTTTATTTACTTTTATTGAAGAGTGGTAATGGAAAAGATACCAAAAACAACCGAACTAAAAACAAACACAGAAAACCAAAAAATATTCATTAGTCAGATAATAAATTAATTGTGATTTTCAGAGTGTATTATTGGGTCACTTTCTTACATAACATGATAGTTAAATTGCCTTGTGGTAGTTGTTTACTTTAGTTCGCCATTTCGGTGAGAGTTCTGAGGCGAACGATCAAAGTTTGCGTAAAACTGTCCGTACTTACTATGCAGCTTAGGAAACATCACGATCAAAAGTTTTGCAGCTCCAAAAATGACACTTTTACATTTTTTTCTTCATGTGCAAGACAGTGGGATCGATTCAACATTTTTATGATTTGTTTCAAAATATTTTATCCCCCCGTTCATTTTATGTTATTTCCTTTGTTTTTTAACTGAAATAAATTGTCGACTGGGAATGAGTAGGTAGGATTTCCACCAGTTTAATTTTAAACCCGTGATACGTCAGCATAACCTCTGTCATAGAAAGAGTGGTTTCTTTTGGATCACAAGTTATTTTATTTTTACAGCATGAAAACCCATCGGTTACCTCTGCGTTAGTGAGTTTGGTGTAGCAGCATGGCAAACAGTCGTATAATTATTAATTTACAAATATATCTCTCTTCTTGATTGGTACATATATTTAACGCTTAGGTTTCAAATTTGCTGAGGATACGTAACGGCTCATGAAATTATTGATATATATTGTTGCAGTTTTGTATTAGCTGTAATACTTATAATTCATAATTGCTTTTACTGAGATGTGATCCACTTCAGCTCTTAAACAAATAAATGACAAAAACATTTCGGAAGGGAATTCAATTGCAACATGGTTACCGATTGTACATACTTTCATTACACGCTATTTCATCTTCAATTTATTGGCGGATAAAACAAACTCAGTGTTCAAAAGAGAGAACTTCAAAATATATCGAATCTTAAGAATATCGCATTTTTTTCTCTTTGAATAACGTGTCGCTTACGATTTAAAGGCAACATACTTATGAGTATTAAACGCACATTGTTTTCATTTCCAAAGTGGCAATTAAAATCAGACAGTTCCAGGGAGGGTTTTCAACCCTTCTCTACGGGAGTTTAAACATTTTAATCTTTGAAGAAAGAGTGAAAAATGATTTAGTCGGTAATCATTTGACCTTTTGTAACTTAAAAGCCAGACATCTCGAACAGGGGGCTGTGCAACGGTAAAAAACAGTTTAGAGGGCCAAACTTTTACGTTTCAGAAAGTAGATGCTTGGGTTTCTCCACGAATGCATTTGTCGTTTTAATGGATTATAGGCGGAAATTCAGACGACTTTAAGATCAGCAAGACGCCAAAAATGCATTAAAGATAAAACAAATTATATTTGCTTGCAGCTGTCTACCATTGCGAAAGTTATAGGAGGAAAGTGTTTCATACGCACTTGTCACGAATTCAAAACTTATCAAGATTCGATTTACTAAAATCGCACTAAGATTGTTTTCATTTTCCCGTCAACCAATTTTATAGCAACTTGCAACAGGAAGAGGTAAAAGAGGGATTCTAGAATTAAGGTAAGAAGAGAGCTAAAAGAGTTGAAAGATGGGGAAAAGAAAATCAGTATATAAAAACCAGAATAGAATGTCGAGATCCATGATCAGTTCACTTTTTGTTAAGAAAGATGCATGGTGAACATTACGGACTACTTAGTTTCTGTTTGAATAAAGCTTCAAAATGTCGTAGTCGCTACATTGAGTTTTATTCTTTTTTTTATTCCCTCGTTTTTATTTGAGTTTTTAGAGATTAAACAGCCTTGTGAACCAAATTAGCTGTTATTTTGACCAAAAGACAAAAAAAAAATTTAAACAGTTATCTTAATACAGTGAGCGATGGACGCCTTTGCCGGCTCACGATACATAGGCCTATGCGTTAGGAATTGAATATCCATTCCCGGCAGTCTTAAATTTATTCAGCTTTTATACATCTTCTCCTTGAAGTTCTCAAGATATCCAGCATTTTAGCGGATTTCCGTAATTTGCACTATCATGGCCCTACGTGATATTTTGACATCGAATCAGATTAGAAAATTCAAAATTGCCAGTTGTCAGATTTAAAACTTCCTTGAATAATAATCTCTAGTCCTGGTTTTGTACGTCGAAAGTTAAAAATAGGACTAAGAAAAATATATACGTGTTAAAGCGAAGGGCGCCATCAAACTTGAAAACAGTGGACGATAAAAGATTTTATACAACGTGCCAACCGGTCAAGCTACTTAAAGTCTGCCATTTAATTACTTTACGAGCACAATGACAGAAGAAAATTATCATTACTAAATACATCCATTGTAAGTATCTTTAAAATCCATATTGATCTTAACATAAGATAATTAAACTCGCAATAACCAAATACATTTAGTTTAAAATAATATTCATCTTAAGAGTAAGAAAAAAATTAATTCGAAGAATACGCTTTTTGCAATATTTTTCAGTATAGTATTCAATAGACTAAATGTCCATACGTACCTCAAAGTCAATCGGAAGCTAAATAATTGACTTCCAACGCGATAAAATGGTAGTCCTTAAAAAACCTCCACTCCAAGAGAAATCTGAAAGCATCCGTTTTGCCTAAGTAAAGGTCAACCGTGTTACCCCGATTATTTGATTTCTTCTATTCCATTCAGCTTTTTTGTTTTGCAATAGTGTTTACTTTGAGGACTAAAAAATCCATTTAGATGGCATCGTTGCCAAGTTACTGACATGAAATGATTGCTATTTGATTTCGAAAGACAACAGAGTTTGTATGCTTTGAATCTAGACAGGTGGTCGTTTTGCAAACTGTGGAGCTACCTACCAAGAAATAAGCCGACATTGAATTCAGATAAAAATCATAATATTAAAAAAAAAAAACTGAGACCAAAAATCATCTTTAATTTTCAAGGGGTGTAACAACACACCCAAAGAAAGAAATCAGAATTTAAGCACATGAAAGCATTTAAGTTCTTTAGATAGATAAATTGGGCATTTGAATATTTTAGGAGGTATTAGATTCACAATTTATACATGACAACAATCAAATAATACAATAATTGAGGAAGTTTAGGTTAGACAAGAAAGCAATGAAACTGCATACTAGATTAAATTCAAACGGCTTTGTTTATTCTCTTTCACGTTTGTCATCTAAATAGATAACATAAAAGTATTTTCCAGTAATCTTCGTCCAAAATCCGGCCAGCAAATGAAAGTATATTGAATCCTAAATCCGTTAGGGGCAAATATATCAGAAGACCAAAAACAAACAAAGTCTCACACCGGCGGTTTCGTTTGAAAGCCGCTAAATCGGACTATGATTATGTTATCGGAAAAGAAAAACAGTTAAAAGAAAACTCTTCCTCTGAGTCATCTCAAGAAATACAAAATGTATCGTTATCCGCTTTGACGATACTTCATTATAGGTCTACATTAACATAAATTGAAGAAACATCCACTAAAGACGAGACTTTTCGATAAATCTTCACCTGTGTCAACATTGTCGGCACTTTTTGAATAAACGCACTGAATTCATAAAAAAGTGGCACAAAGAGAGAAAAAAAATATCATAAAGGGTCACCGGCAAAATGTTTATTGGCGCATGTGTTTTGCATATATTCTTAAAATATAACAATCTTGGCTCGATATTCAGACTCGGAAATGCTCGATAGAGTGAGTTTATGTTCCTGTGTGGTTAATGACATATTGCAGATTAATTTTTATGTACAATTAACCCCAGTATCCTTTAATGTTCGTTTACGTGGGGTTAAATAACATAAATATGGTCGTTGCAGATCTCCTATAGACTGTAAGGATAATGTTATCTAAAAATATACAAAAATAATTAAGAGCTTTTGATTTGTATGAAATAAAAAATAAAAACTCGTGTTTTTTTCCTACTTTGTTTACAACCAAGAATTTTTGGTTAATCGCTACCTATTACGATGTAAATGGCCAATAAAGTAGCCAATGAGATTGCAGCATTTGTGATAGATAGATAGCAAATTCTTAGTGATGAGTGATAGTCTCAATGTGATTATTAGTTAAGAAATATCGGTCGTTTTTCCACTCCTGTTGATAAGAGCGAAAAGGGAATCACAGAATCGTAGATGAGAACAAATTAAAACGAAAGTTACCTAAAAAAAAAATAAGCCGTGCAAATCATTTGCTTTCATTAGAGCATGCTATAAAAATGATTCCCCGATATAGGCCTTGCTTCTTATCAATTCCATCCCATTTTATTCTGACCTTCCTCCCCTCCTAGGGGAATCTGATAAGATCTAGAATTAAATGCTATTGTGTTATGTATTATGCTTACAAAGACATTTCATTTCAACAAAATGCTAAGGACTTATTATATAATTATTATTTCTTCTGAAAGGAAAAACTATTGCAATATTCCTATCCATGTTAGAACTGTCACGTGGCTTCTTTGTTTGACAAGAGAAAAATTATGCTCGGTACTGACGTCATACTTGGATCAACCCGATTAGAACAGTTTCGAGCTTTGCGCATGTGTGCACATAAATGATGGCCTGTCGAACTTGACTTTATTTTGCCTT